TTTTTGATGTTGTAAGCCGGGAAGTTGTAAGCACTGGAATTATAGCAAATTACGACTCAGTTGAGAATTCATATTATTTATTTTTCTACTTCCTATGGCCCTTTGGGCTATTCCAAAACTTAAATTAATTTCTCTGTAGAGTGAAAGTCAAAGTCAAAAAACATTTTGTAAGTTTTCACAAAGGCAGGTGAAGTTTTAAAAAAATTTGCAAGACTTAGCTTGGATTGCTTTAGATTTTCTTACTCTATTTTTGTTTTCTAGATAGTCTTTTATCTTTGAGTCTCTATGGTAGAATACTTCGTGTTTAATTATAATAATTCTATAGGTGCGTTTCGCGATGTTATGATGCGTAAAGCGTAATGAAAAAAAAATAATTAGACCCCTATGTTTTAGGAAAATTTCATTATATAGTATTGAGACAGTGTAACTATATCTAAAAATTGTTTTACACAAGTCACAAATTCCTCATGCCGGAGAAAGCTTTCGCCAGACATGTTACAAATCTTATTACAAGCAAACCAAATCAACTGCAAGACAGGTCTCTTTACTCTGCTCGAATCTCTAGTAACTTCCTTGTTACTGCGCTTTACGATTGTAAAATTAGCGTAATTCTATGTAAACATGGCTTGATAATGTAGGACAAATAAAAAACTTGTTAGAAGTAGCGAAAAGATCTAAATGGCGGTATGTGCGAATGACCCTTCAGCTCTAAATTCAAGGCTAAGATAAGATCTAAAAGTTTTCTGCAGGTAAACCGCTAAACTCGGGGTCAGTTCTTGTAGTTCATTGCTGAGTTTCGTGGTTTTTGCTATAAGAACTGACCCGGAAAGCCAGATAGATAGTGAGCTATTGCACTTTTGGTGCTTTTCAAAGACTTGCATAGCACTAAACTGGAGTTTTGATTTGGTGACAGCCGAAGAAATTGCGCCTCTTGACCGTCTCCCGATAAAAATAGAATCTTTCAAGAGAAGGATCTAGTTTGAGAGTACGGGAGAAGACAACTTTTCAGAAGCAAGCTTTTTGCTAGACGAAGTTCATGCTTAGATGGAACCATCAAGCAACTTTTTTCCGAAACGTCGACAGGGTAAACAATCCCACCAATGCGTTCTTTCTGGTCATCATAGGTTTTTTGATTCTATTGTGCGTATGATTTTCTACACACATTTACCCGCAATAGCATTTGCTTTCATAACTACATTTAGACCCCCTAATCCATCAAGCCGACGTTCTTAAATTAACTCTTTTATGTCAAGGTTCAAAGAAAACTTTTTAAGCGCAATTATAAGAAACAATACCGATACAAATGACTTAGCTGATTACGGCATACATATTAGGCACAATGAACTCAGTTCTTTCCTAGATTATGCATTGTTCACACGAAAAAGCTTCTTTAAATGAAAGGGTGCAGAGGATTCAAATCTTCGCAGTTATGTGAACAGAACATCCTCGTTTTATTTCCAGTCCAAGAAAAGTCATTTCTTTACAAAAGGTGAGCAGGATATTTTACGTGCTTAAAATGTGAAAATGTATAAAGCAAAACCTACTACAACCTGGTAAAAGTAAGTACAATAGTCTCTAGAATCTTGGCATGACATGCAAAGTAGCGGTAGGAATTTGAGCGCAAAAGAAGTTCGCTGCACAAATTTTGACCGCTTTATTGTAAAGTAGTAAAATTTTGACAGAGTTTTAGATCACAGCAACAATGCAGTTCCCGCTTGGCAAGATGTTCTGAGCCCCGATAGGAATTTCAACCATTAAGAATCAAACTCATTTTTGAATTATCAAAGCTCTTTGGACAGTCTGTATCATGGCATTGGCCTAAAAGCACAGTTTCATCTAAATTAAAGCAATCAACACTTAGTTTTACTACGGTTTGGAGTGTAATTGCTAAATTCATGAATTCTTATCCGTGAAAAATGTATGAAAAGTAATCTGCGCGTTTAGCCAGGCAGGAAAATCTAGAACTATCGCGAAAATGATTTTTTAGACAAGATATAGCTTTCTTTTTACCGAATTATTTCCCACTGTCACTCTAGGTGCAAGCGGAAAAGTAAATAAAAACAAATGTGGCAAAAAAAACTGCAGCTCTAAATCCACAGCCAGATGTGAAACTTTGGTAGTTGTGTAAGCAGAATGTTATGAGGGCTAGTGAGTGGCAGTGCAGTAGCGAAAAGGGAGTGATATGGCTGAGTTGTGAGCCCGTGGGGAATTGCGGAACGGATGGGTGGCCATCTCTATTCCAAATAACATTAGGGACCCCCTCAGTCGCATCGAATGGCGCACGTCTGATTGACGACAAGCATTCGTGTCGTAATGCAGCGCTGAATGCGCAGAATTAACGAATTCGCAGTCGGGTGTGGGGGCGCGAAGCAAAAAAAAGAAAAAACAGAAGTAGGCATCATTTCAGCTAATGATGCGTCGAGTAATGTCTCCATGCAGGTTTTATATTGCTAAAGCAACTGGTTTACTCGTCGACCTTAAGCATTGTGGAGTTTCTTACTATGAAATTATGGTTTTCAGAAGTTACTCGTGTTTCATAGTGCCGAAAAATCATTTCTCTCTTACTCGAAGAAAAATTTCGACAAACAATTACGCTTTTTCGTACTTTCTCAATAGACCCTTTTCCTCCTATACAGGATGATTTGAAGTATAAGGTTGATAGATAAGGAATAATTTTTGATAAATTTAAGTTTCAACGAACCCGTTCACATCAATGTTAGTTTTGGTCTTGTCTCTACATATGAGCTGTTCTTTTTGACAAAAGGAGTACAATTTTTTTGCATTTCGATTATGTTACAAAAATGAGAATAAGATTTTGAACAACTACAAAATCCGTTTCGTTTCTGACCTTAGACGGAGTAAAGAATTTTCAGACCTTTTCGAAATTCCTCAGTAGGGAAGAAAGGTCCCTAAACCTTATTCTTCGAAAGTAGTAAGTTTATTCAGGAATAAAAAATTGTATCGCCAGCAAATTGCTGAAAAAGTTTAAGGTTTTTAAAAAAACAAGTGAATAAGAAACATGTTGACCTTTCAGTTTAAAAATGGCGCATAAAAGATTTCATACGATAATTACTATGAGACAATGCAAATCAAATCTTTGATAAAACATTTAAGCTATTTCCCAAAGTTTTTGTTGCAAAACTTAGACATCAACCTCATAGCTTTCTGATCAATAGCCAAGCAATTTTCGTGAAAGAAAACCTTGGCAAAAGGAATGCATTGACAAATTTTGAGCCTACACCACTCCATGACTTATTATAAGCTACCAAAAACATAGTAGATCGTCTTTAAAACTTCTCTTGGTCTTACCTCCTATTTATTGTGCTCAGAACGTAACTTTTTCAGCCTATATCGAGAATCCGGAAAGAAGTTCAATTTGAACTTCTTTGATGTTTTTGGCGCAGTGCGCTGCTGGTAAGAAGTTCTGAGCTGGCTGAAATGGGACTACAAAGAGAAAGAAAGCTAAAATGACTCCAATCTTCGCATTTAGTGCATTAAAAAGTTCTTATTAAACAAAATAAACTCATCGCGCAACGTACAAGTCGTTTCAAGAAAGTGGGTGATGCCCTCATTATTGAAAATGCGAGGTGAAAAAGAGCCGAGTAAAAAACCTGCTGCGTAATGACAATGAAAATGATTTGAGAAGAGTTGGTTAAAGTAAAGTGATTCGAAAGTTGGCAATTTTTTTGTGAATGAAAGTCATATATGGATAGAAGAAAACCCAATTTGATTGAAGGACTCAGGTGAAGGTAAAAAAGATTTCTATTTCGATTATTACACCCTATCTATGCTATGCTTCATTGTGCCTCAAAAGTTATTTATGGATCTTACTGGCCATTATCACTTCTTCCAGTATCCCATCATCATAGTAAATGCAGTTTATTCGGACAAGATCAGATATAGTAAAGAGAATCTAGGAACCTGGATGTGTAATATTGGCAGATCCGGAGATACTCGATGGAAGTTGCCGCTTGCTGAGTTAGGAGCTTTTAGTGTGAGAAAATCTCTGGGAAAGTCATCAAAAAATTTTCTCACACTGAAATCGCCGCCTGACATTGAAAGTCTAATTATAGTTTTTGGCCCTCTCACTGGAGCTTCGATATAGTAGAATAAAATTTTGAACCAAACTTTGACAATTCTGTGACGGAACAGATTTAACACATCATGCTTTATTCCAGTTGAAAAACAGGCACACAGTTCCAAGTTTTAAAAAGACTTTTTACAAAACAATTTAAATTTTTTTGAGAACTTCAAAAGTTTTCCCATACAAGTAAATGAAAATATAATATGCTGGTGATGCTTTAGAACCTGCGCAACTCAAAAAAATTTCGCGAGCCGTTCGCAGGTGTTTGTTAGCTGTGTCCTCAGCTCAACATTCATCTGCTGCACACCTTATTCTTGAAACTGTTATAAATTAAAATTATTGAAACTTGTCCCTATGGAAGAGGTGCTGAGAACTTGAGCATGTCTATTGAATACTACCGCTTACAGAACGTGCAAAATTTCCGTGGTTCCCGAATTTCGCGGAAGTCCGCGAATTCACGGAAATTTTGCACGATTCGTGAGCGGTATTGTATTCAAGCCAAGGCTTGGTTGAGAGTTAATCAGAGGTCGCATAGAACCTAAACTTCAAGACCTCTTGAAACACCAGAAACAGATTAGTGGAGTTGAGGTTTCCGAGAGAGTCAAGTTTTTCTCTTTCTTCATTGGACTTCACGTTAACGATCTCAAAATTCACAGTGGAACCAGCACAAGTAGGAAGAGCTTGTGAGATTAGCCATAGTGCACTGACAGAACGTCCACATGCGATAAAATTGAAACCACTTGTACGGGAAAGCCGTCACAATATCTGTCAGCTATCTCTGCTAAGCGCTTCACATCTAGAGTTAATGAGCCAATTTCGCGCCTTTTATGGTGCAACACAGATAAGAGCGAACCCAATATTCCCTTACCCCATGTGATTGTTTGTTTGTCTATGTTCAGGAATGGAAAACACTCACTCGGTTGATGATTTGGAGCTTCGCACTCGAGTTTCGCACCGCCATTGTACAATGGGACAACGTTTCCTCGATGTGGACGGAAGGATTCAAGAAATGCTGGCTTCAGAATTGTTGAAGGACCTCTGAATGCGAGAACGATACAATCAACGTCAATTTTTTCTTGGGAAACTGAAAGTTAATTAAGGAGAACTTTCGGCCCTTTGCACTCAAAGCCTTCTACTATAAATAGTTTACAAATATGTCTACTTCATTTCTCAGTCTGACTACCGTAAAGATTCAGACTAAGATCAGATATAGTTTCAATGAACGTCTTTCTCGTCACTAATCCACCCAACATGACTGCTAAAGGACATCTGTCCTTCGTCATAAACCTAACATTTTTGTAAGATTTCAATCTTAAATGGTCATGTAATAGTTTTTTTCTTCTAATAGCTGTGCTTATCTGATGTATTTCGGAACTGATGGACACGAACAACACAGCCTTTTCAAGGTCGATTTGTTTTTTTTTTGCTTTATTACCATACTCTTTCCCCAATTTGACGGCATAATTCATTTGCATTAAATAGTAGAATTCGTACAGTTTGACGCTGAAAAATACCTTTCACTCATTAAGTCCACAATGGAGATAGGAAAGCAAAAGAAAGACAATGATCGTTTAGCTTATTTCGACTGCTATTTGTTGAACAACCCAAGTGTTTCACTATGCCATCATCTACGGTAGACAAGGAAGCGTGAAGATTAGAAAGATAGGAAAACAACATCTCAGAACACTAGACAAGTTTATTTTACAAATTTATTATGATAACTAGTTCTGAAGTAAACCGCAGTCATATTTTGCAAACATTTCTTATTCAAAATGCCTTCGAACGACATGGATAATTGGAGCATTGCCTGCTGCGGCTGTGGGCCCAGCACCTATAACCGTCTGCTCGACTGTTCTACAATGACAACTCTACTATCTAGGACATTACACGCCCGCAACCGATAGGACTAACCGGCGCGTCCCACTCGATCAGCCTAACTTATCAACCCGTGTATAACGCGCGTATATTTAGATTAAGTTTATATACATAAAACAATAAATATAAAATACACACACAAAACTACGAGATCCCTAAGGATGACCAAACTACTAACACAAAACGAGCCGCACGTCCTGTGCAGCCGATGTACAAGACGTTTAATCCAGCCAAAAAGTTCTGGGCTACTCCACAGAGTCTGCCGCTGGAGACCCTTTCCCATGGAATGGTGCACTCACCAGCTCCACTCCCGCAACAATGTTCGTCTACAAACTTCCAGATTTCCTCTCCACGCGCCTTCACAAGATCCCAAAAGTTTCAACTGTTCGGCACAAAATAACCAAATGCGGGAGCTGCCAAGAGCATAGCCAAGTATAACATAAAGGTAACCAATGATGAGAGCGAATGTCGAAGAGGCCAAGGGGCTTTCGCGAGCAACTTTATATACCCCGCTTATACACCCCGCCACTTGATTAAGCCCCAAACCGAAGATGGTCCTGCACCAGCCTACAAAAGGTGCGACAGACAAGCGCGGCATACAAGCTCCCGGCATCTGTTCCGAGGAGCTGCTCTGCATCGCGAAGCCGCGACATCGCCAAGTTGCCCTAAGTATAGGGTATTCGAAAAATGGTGACGACGGCGCGACCGCGCGCGACACGCACGCACATCCCGACCACATTCTCTTCTTTTTCATCTCTACTCGAATCGTTTCCCTGGTTAAATACGACAGCATTTAGACATTGGAAGTTAATGAGCTGAGAATTGAGGTGATGTGTTTTTGTATGGTTGTTTTCTGCTCGTGTGGGCGCAAAGACCGCAGTGAAAATCCGTCGTCACAATATTATAAACGACCTATATGTTATGTTGTTCATGATTCGATCTTCAACTATATCAAATCCCTATTTCGATCAAGTGCTGAGTCATGCATGGCTCACCCTTATCACATGACTAGATATAACATAAGTTAAGAAGTAATACTTATTGTTAGAAACAAATCTCTTCTTGAAAGATCCTTTTTGAAAAACGAAATCACACACCTCACTTCACCGAATTTATTCTTGGCTGTGCAGTGAAAAGACGAGTAGGCCAAAGACGGCTCGGCAGGAACAAGCAAAGAACCTCCGGAGAGAAGGTAGGACACACCGGAAGCTGACGGAATCACCTGAAAAACAAATTCATTTCTTCTTGCATCGCCTTAGCACTTCATAGCTTCTGATTGAGTTTGAAAAAAAGGCAAAAGAATTGATCTTCTTCATGGTTAGAGTTTTTTTTTTGAAAGAGGCCTTTTTTGCAAGAGGATGTTTGTTGCCGCAATTTTTCAAAGTATTTGGCTGGTTCATGATCAATCCCCGTTTCCCATACTTTAAACTTAATTCTAAGTAATTCTTTTCCGAAATCATCTTTCTGAGCGCATTGAAAACTATTGTAAGAGCAAACCTTTGTTATACAACGCATACTTTTGTATGATTATACTCACTACGCGGATGTTTTCTGGCTGGAAAATTGCGAGAATTTTTCTGGAAAACTGTAACGTGAGAGAGCATAACCTACTTTCAAAAGTACAGAACGGAATGAACTTTGTTCATTGTATAGGCGATAGCCGGTTGAATAGTAGTGTAAAGCTTGAATTTTACGGAAAATTTTTGCGGAAAAATATTACCAAAAGACCGAAAGTTCTCACTTTTTTCTGCATTTCAGAAAAAACAAATAACTATATTTTCTAAAACTTTCTAATTTTTACTCCTCTCAATTAGAAAGGACGCTTTCCTATTAATTAGTCCTAGGTCTGCTGTACCTGTGCAGATTGTTCGTTTTGTGCTTAAGCTTTCTATACAGTTTGGATAGGCTTCAGCAATCAGTCAAGTTTGAGACAAAGCTTCTCGGCTCAAGATCTTTCAAGAATTTGGAATTGGTAGTTTGTAGCACAAATCACAATCAATCACAGCACATATTTTTTGAAACAAAACTGAGCACATTGTACTTATTTAGAGCAATTAGAGCTGAGAGGAAAAAATTCAAGTTTTAGTCCTCATCTTTGAAGACATGACTTCGCTTTGAATACCAATTTTCGGAGATGAAATTATATATGAGAAACTGGAGGAAGCGGGCTTCCATATATTACAACGTTAATTAATAATAAAAATAGTTTTAGTTCGCCAAGAAGCATTTAAAGGAGGTGATAAGAAAAACGTGCATTTAGTATGAACCAACTTATATTATGCAAGCATTGAAGCTCGATTTATCTAGTTGCTTGGTCTTTGATCAGAAGAGCGGGGGCAATGGTGTATGATAGAGCCAATAACTTATTGGAGCTCTTGTTGACACAATATTTCAGCGAAATAAATAACTTGTTAATAGTAAAAATCAGTGTCTGCCCGGTATACATTCTAACAAATGACAGCTTTAGAATGACAAATGCTTTGTGAATGACTGGGCATTATCCCTTTCATCGTCAGCTGTGGCCATTACATCGTTAAGAATGGGCTGATTAGAGCGCTCAATGCGTACCATTTCTCTCCCAGTGAAAGATGAGTGGAGCCAAGTAATGAAGGGTTTTCAGAATTCTTTTGCTTCGAATTTCTCGAAGAACTCACCACATCGATATCGTTCTGCAACCATGTTATCTCTGGCGGTGGATTTCCTTCAGCCGAGCAGGGCAGCACAACGTAGTCGGCATCGGCTCTTGTGTGAAAGAATACTTCTGGAGCAGCGTGAGAGGTAAGACGTGGAGCTCCTGAGACAAAGTTATCGGATGATTCGATAAATTATTAGGTTGCAAGGACAGTTTCCAGGCACTTTCGAAAAATCGCTCCAAACTGCTATGCCGAAAACATACCTCACGCGATTTGGCAATACTCCAATTGGTCATAGTTCATCGTAAGGGGTTTCCGAATGTACGAAAGACAGGGTATTTTATCAACTTACGCAAGTTATACGTGCTGTGCCCTTGGGGTCTACCAGTATTGAATCTGAAGACATTTGACAAATTGGCAGATCAGGTGGGCGACTGAAATCGCGTGAGATATGCCTTGGGCCTATAGCTTCGAGCAAGATATTCCTTTTTAAATGCTATAATTTTTCTGGTAAGGCATTATTGTCCACATGCTCAAAGCATGCTCGTTCTATTGGCTTCTCAGCACTTCTTTGCGGACCACCACTATGCGCAGACGGGAAGAAGGTCGGACTTGGAAATCGACCTGTTCGTGCAGGATTTTCTCAGTCACGAAGAGAACCGGAGAGCTCATATGGATGATACTAGACGAATCTAACCTTTGATTCAACTGGATTGGCGGCTGGAAGGCGGAGCTTTGTGACCTAATCAGGCCGCTCGCGCCTGCGACCCAGTCTCTCACATGGGCGTTACACATTGATCTTTCCGATCATTCCCTAGCCTTAACTAGGTCACGAAACCCCGCTTTCCAGCCGCCACTCCAGTTGAATTAGAAGGTACCTGAACTGCCAGAGGTAAAGCCACGGTTAGAGAACGCTACAAATCTGCACCAATTTTTTTCCAAAAAATTTGAAAAACCGTTTTTGCACGAATTGAGCCAAATCTTTGACTACTGCAGATAGGTTGATGTTTCCACATCTTTTGGGCCAATCAACCAAGCGTGGGTCTCCTTAGAATCAATACAAGCTCGGAAAGAACTACGATCAAAGTGGCACCTTGTAATTTTTGTGCGCGTATGGACAGAAAAAATGCGGGATTCAAACGGTTTTTTCTGACTCATTGCAAAAAAAAAGGCAGCAGAGAGAAAAACTGTGGCACTTTCATTGTTGCAAACACTTTCTTTTTTGATATGTAGACCAAACAGGGTTTGACAATGATGAAAATTATAGATGACACTGAATGCGTACAATAGAATAGTCGTTAAATTTTGTTCGAAAAAAATTAGATTAGAAAATGAAACTCTGAAACGCCCGGAAACATCATTTACAATCCGTTGTAAACTTGTTGGACATGCAAATTGCCGTATCCTGAAAGATGCTACAAGATCCGTGCACAGGGCTCGGCACAGCTGGCACCGGGGCAAGCTGAATATCGTTTTTGGGAAAAAAGCAAAGGAGATATACTTTTTGTGTCTAAAAGACAAAAAATCAAAGGGATTTCGTTTTCAAATCCCGCAGGTGCCAGCTCGCGCCGAGCCCGTGCATATGCGGTGTGTTAGAGGTACAGGGTAACGCTTTTTATTACTGTGGGATTACTGACGTCCTTACATCATTCAATGTAATCTAATCGGAATCTTAAAACAAGAGTAAATTTGGTTTGTGTAAAGGATTTTCATGTAAATTCTACAGCGGTAAAGAGCGATAAATGAAAAGATTTACGTATGTTACAAATCTTAATTGGACCTGTTCTATCATATACAGGGTGTCCCAAAAAGATGCGCACACCGTTTGATTGTTAATAACTCTCTTGCTTTCATGTGTTTTGCCGAGCTTGAGGTACCATTCTTTAGAGCGAAGTTCAACTTAGATTTACAGTATGGAGCGAATCACCAATCACTTTTTCATTACTGTAGGATTAAGGTAGGAATTTCGAGGAGGACTCTAAAGGCAGTGGCTTGGAAAAATCGCGACTGGGTGCTTTTCACAACTACATGGCCTTCTGGACCAAGTCAGAATTGGCTTGAAATGTCAAAAAAGTGTTTTTTGGAGTCTACCGACCTTGCAGACTGTCGGAGAAGCGGGGCGAGGGATTCCCGCCATAACCAGCAAGTGAATGCAGGATACTGTAACTTCACCTATTCTGGCGACAATTGGCCGATCAGCTCAGGCAACAATACGATACAGTTGACAGGAATCCCCCACCCCACCTCTCCAGCAATCTCCAAGGTCGGAAAACGCCAAAAAAGCGCTTTTTTAACTTTTCAAGCACAGTACCTGACTCGACTGGTCCAGAAGGCCATATAGCTGTAGAAATTCCCCACTCGCGATTTTCCCGAGTCACTGCCTTTAAGCCATTGAAAGCGGTATTTTGCCTCAGAAAGAAAGTCACACAAGCCAGAAGCTCTTGAACTGGGTTAATCGATTGCTGATTCTAAATATGAAAACTGCACGTCAGTATACTATTTCTTTCATGAGTTTTGTCGATTTAGGGTAACAAATGATTTTGCAATGTTCGTCAGGAATGTGAATACGCCATCCATTAAGCTCGAAAACTGATGGAAAGTTGTGTAGTAAATCAGAACGCCTGAACCCTTGCTACACCATTAATTTTTTTGAAATTGTTTCATCAAAAGGCTTATTCCACAGTGACGCTGTATGCTGAAAGTTCATGCCGTGATCCTACAGTAACGAAGAGTAACTGGTGATTCGCTCCATAGTGCACTACAGAGGTACCTCAAGCTCGGCGAAAGACATGAAAGCAAGACAGTTATTAACACGTTGACGACGAGCCATTTTTTGGAAGGTCTGTCCCTGTGGACGAACCGTTTCCCGGCACTTTCACAGCTGGCTGCATGTATGTATGCATGCATCTATGCGTGAGATACAAAAATGCAGGTGGGCGGGGCGGCTCCGCCCACTTTTGGCAAGCCTCGCCCAATTTTCAAAAATGCTGGAAATTGCCCAAAATCAATGAATTCGTGCAAATTCCGGCACTTTTGAAAAGTGGGCGGGGCTTGCCACTCAGGGGGCGGAGCTTGCCACTTATGGGGCGGAGCTTGCCTGAAGGTGTGCGGGGCTTGGCTGAAAGTTGTTGGAGGTCTTTGCGTTCATGTAAGGCCACATCCATGCTTTTTATGAACAAAAATGGCTCTTGTGGGAGGCATAGGAGTGGGCGGAGTTTGCCAAAAGGGGCGGAGCTAATACATGAAGTATATCTGAGCCTATGTTGATTATATGAACAAAAACTGAGAGGATTGGACAGATAGTATTGAAAATAAGGCCGCCGCGCACCATTGCGCGGCGTCGTCCACAGGGACAGACTGCCTGCCGCGCACCTTTGCGCGGCACTGTCGTCAACGTGTTAACGATCAGACAGTGTGCACATCTTTCTGGGACACTCTGTATACGCTCCGCGAAATATCATACACTAAGGCGAAAGAGTTATGCACGAACGATCGAGCATTGTACACACTTCTGAGATACTATGTAGTGTTCATTATGTTTCTTCTCCATGAAATAGAGCTTTTCTTTAAAATCAAAAGTGATGTTATGAGCGCGACATAGCGAAGAAACAATCGGGCATTAGAAAGCTTTTGATGCTTGCAAGAAGAGAGTACAAAAGTTTCATCTAACTTAGAATGCGCGTTAATGCCCCAACCAGGGCCCGGCACCGATGGTTTGGGGTCAAACTGGACTTCGTTTTTGGAGTTAGAAGCAACGGGGACATCGTTTTTATGAGGTCCTGAAGGAAGCGCCAAAAAACACGACGAACATTTCAGGTTTCACGAGTTGAACGTGTTCTTTCGCAAGCGCGCGAATTTCAAATGCAAGACTCAAGCAAACAAATGGCTTGTTTACAGCGCACAAACAATCACATGGTTCCAAATTTGGGCTATGTGTATACAATATTACTCCAAACTATGTTATGTAAAAAGTTCCCAAAACTTATGTGTACTAATATCCGTTCTCGAATTTGTTGGTTTCTAGACCAACTACCGAACCAACTCCTTTTTGACTTGGACGATTAGAACGGTCAAAAGTCTATCATTTAGTGAAGAGAGCGGATCAAACCGTTGCCTCTCCCCTTTTTTTGAGTCAAAAGTAGTATAATTCTACGCGTTGATAGATATCGCGCTCCAATCACTTGCGGTGTCCTTTGAAATATGTGGCGAGAAATGCATCGCAGGATTGTTGAGGTTACAGATTTGGTTGGCCTAGGAAATTCTCGACATTTCCAGCATCAAAATGGTACTATACCCACTTTAATCGACTCGAGATGTTTTCTTTTTGCTTTTTTGTTATATTACATGCCTCAAAATGCGCTTTTTTCGCTTTTTTGTTGCTATTTTGGTTGAATAGGGGTTTCTCTACTGATTTTCACGTCGAGAGGGACTTCGTAAATTTTCGCGAAGTCATGGGGGACTTCGTTTCCTAAAAACCTCCAAACCAACGCGTGCCGGGCCCTGCGCCCAACTCATTCTGAATGTTTTAGTAAATCGATTGGATCTGTATAAGCCCCATAAAATAGAGGCTCTCCATGCTTCTTATGATGAACATAATTTGAAACATCGGCAAGACTACCCGCTCAAAATCTACTGCTTTCTCTAAATAAGGTTTTTTTTTTTCGTAACACAATCCTTGAGATATTTCAGGTCTCCAAGGTCCGAAAAACGCTCGCTCTCATGCTCCCTTCAAGGACCCATTTTTGAAAGACATTAGGATAAATTACAATTGTTGGGAGGCCCTTGATGGGCAATGAAAAGCAGATGACATGATGAGACCAAAAACCATTTTCTAAAGCTAACCGCGAAGGGATGGAGGGGATTGTGGCGAATCATACGACATATAAGCTTCAGAGTTTCTAATAATGATAGGGCAATATTGTTAGTTGGAAAGACTTTGAACCAAATCAGATTTTACCAAAGTTTCTCAAAAAATGTAAATTTGACATATGGGCAACAGTGCTATAAACTTTCAATCCGCACTTCTTCACTTCATATCATGGCTAGAGTATGCTTTTCGATTATGAACTAGACAAGCATCATGCTTCAATCATACTAAAGTGTTTGCTCCGGCTCTAGAACCGAATTTGTTCTGTCCAAAAATTGAACAAAACATCCCTTTTCTAGAAAAAACAAATGTTCTGACATGAATGGGGTATTTACATGCCTTGAAAGTTACATAGCATAGGTTCAGTAGATTTTGTTCCCACCTGTATTGAGCAGCATATCCTGGATAAGAAGCGATCGTCTTCCTGTGCGAGTAAGCGAGCATAAGAAGGGAAAAGCTGCTGATGATGGAACATCGATTCTGAAAATTTCGCTGTTTTCCGATGAAGAGGTGTACTTGCGTTATGTACATAAAATGCCTATTGTTTGTGAGTTCTTTGATTGCCTTGTTATGGCGCATTTCTAACTTTCAAGCTATCCGATGTTGAATGTCCCTCTTTCATTTACAAATTGACTGATAAAAGTTATTTACAGATCTTCTTTGCAGGAGATTCTATGAATTCTGTGGCCTATCACGGAAAGGTGGATGCGGTCAACATAATGCATATTTTACACTTGTGAAGCCATCCGTGGAAACATTGCGTTCCGATCAACAAAAAATTTGGGCAGCAACATTTACCATTTAGTCATGGAGTTTCTAAAACAGTTCTTATGAAGGTTAGGTACTGCTTTCTGTGGCGCTTGGATTGCACAAGTCAGCGAAGTAAAGTTCAAAGACTGTTTTAAGACTAAGGTTAATTTTGGTGGACTAAATCCCAGGGGGCACAGTATGGGATGTAAAGGGAATGAATTTACCCGCAGATCACCTTCTTCCTGATCACCCCCTACACAATCAACGTCCAAACTATCACTTCGACAATTCAAGCGCGGTTGAATTAGCTTGCTTCACTGTTCTGGATTTCAACATGGAATATCTAAATTACGTAGGATAGATATCCGAAGACTTTGCAGCTATGATGGAGATAACGAAATGCCTACAAAATTTACGTTAGACTAAATTATGTCGGCTTGAATTGATATGGCTTTATTACGTAAATAGATAGACAAAGAAGCAACGACCACTTGGAGTGGTAAACTGTCACTTTGAAGTTACGTTGCAACGGAAAATCACTGAGTAAATCTTATAATTTTGAAATTATGTTTTTTGCTTTCTTAGCTTCCCAAAAACGCAAAGAGGTAATGGCCCTGAGGGAGTTACGAGTTTTTGACGGTTCCGTTACGGATGTTACGCCTCTCCTTTCTTAGCGAGAGCCATGAACTTTATCATGGCAGAAACTCAGCCCAAAATATTAACCTCCAAATTTTCGTTTTTTGGCACATGGCATACCCCTCAAATTCATTCTTATATTGAAAATAACTGTAGGTAAAAAAATTTCTTCTCCTAAAGAGATATTCAACTCACATTTTATAGTGACCTCCAGCTTGTCGACTGATCGCTCTCGGCGCTTCTCCTCCTCGTCGCGAAACGAGCCATGAAGACTCATGAAGCCCATTGTCATAGAGACTCTAAAGCACTTACAGATGAGAAAAATTTTCTAGCTATGTTTGTTGGGGGAACTTACCCTAAGAATGTCTGCAACGTCATCCACCATTCCAGGTCGGTCACACTCAAGAAGTATACCTCCTTCGCTTACGCATGATTCCTGAAAAATTTATATAAAAATGCATATGACTGCTATTTCTTTTGAGCAGCTAAAATAGGTCATCATGTAGTTTGGAATTCGCCAGTTTTATGATGATGGCTTTTGGCGCATTTCTGGTTATTTTTCATTAACCGACTTTTAAAATTGTATGCGATTTAAACAAAAGCTTATTTCATTCAAATGGTGTTTAACCTACAATTCTTTTCGCATCTCTTTCTATAGGGTTTCGTACTACGGCAATATGAACGTCCGAACAAGACATACTATTTTTTTAAGGGAGAGGAACGGGGCAAGCTAGATATCGTTTTTGGGAAAAAGTAAAAGGGATGTCGTTTTTGTGGCCGAAAAGACACAAGAATTGCAACATTTTGTTAGTCGACGTTTCGTTTTTTGAGCGTTTTTTACGTTTAGGTTGTAGGGTCAAAGCGGACTTCGTACTTAGGGAAAGTCAAAGGGGCCTCGTTTTGAAAATTACCTGGTGCCAGCTCGCGCCGAGCCCTGACTTAAACGGTTAACTAAAGAAAACATAAAATGTGATACCTGCGCCTCGGAAGAGGTTAACGGTCGAAGAATTGGCTTGATGCATGTGTCACCCGATGGTGCCCATGATGTGGGACATTTGGAGTCATCTATAAGCAGCAAAAATCTATCCTCATGAAAGATTGTTAGACAGTTCCATTTTACAATCTACGCACCTTCATTGGTTCATTCTCTAATTCAGAAAAACGCATAAATTCTTTGAACATTGTGTTCTGTTCAGGGTTATTCGCCTTAGACGAAATGCATTTAACATTTGCAAAAAAGTGCAAGCGCTAATGAAAATGCAACTCAGTGGCTCAAGTGCTCATTATAACGACCGCATATGTCGAAAGGCAGCTCACTTCTACGGTAGTTCTTGTACTTTCGAAAAGGGTAAATGATAAATGATTTCTTGCATTTAGCTAGCAGCTATTTCTACATTAAGAGCAATCTCAAGGTACTTTAGCGTAAAAATTCAAACCTACCTAAACTCCATGACTTGCCTAATGTTAAGTCGTTCCGAAAATGTCCCTTTTTTCAAGTGAACGCTACATTTCGTGGAAGCAAGGTTTCTAGGAGATTTTGGAAGCATTCGATGCATCACTTCATACTCTTTCTAATGACTATAACATCACTGCATAATACTCAATGAGCTTTGAAAAATTACCAGAATTTCCAACCCATGCTTTTTGGAAAGGTCAAGTTTCACAATTTTTCTAACCTTTTGTAATAACTCCCGGAAGGAGTCCAAGTAATGGATGGGTAAAGCAAACCCTACAGGAGATAGCACAACTTTTTTCCACTTTTCAGAGCTCGTCATAATTTCTGTATAAATTTTTTGATGAAAGCACCGAATTTTAGCAGGCTCGTCTCAGACACAAATGCATCAAACACCAGTAAATGTTCGGATTTTGAAACTTACAAAGGTGAATTATGGTTTAACACTAATTTTACGAAGCATATGAGCATTTATCGCTTCAGATTAGCAACTTTCGGAAATTTCGGGTACAGCCTAGGGCGCCCTGGAAAACCTAATTATAATGATTTTTTTCCCGGCAAACTTTATGAATCGGAAACTAAAAACAACTGGTAAAAAGAGGAGAAAAAGCTGCGTCGAATGACACCCGAGTTGCTTGTCGGTTGTTGTTCTGTGAGGTTTGAGTTGACCAAATATCGAATCTGATAGAACTGAAAAATTGATTCTACAAACTCTAAGAAGCAAACTAAGGAAAAGAAAAAAATTGTTTTGTGGCCTATAGTGTTTGCTTTATTTATCTGTTACTTGTACATCTTCGGGGAATCGGTATAAAAATATAGAAAAATAGCCGAACTTGACCATGACAAAAAGCATTAGTCGCAGCTTTTGGTAATTTTTTGAGAACTCATTGAATATTATGCAATGAGATTAAAACCATTAGAAAGAAGACGAAATGCTGCATCGACTGATCCCAAGAGCTCTTGAAAATCTTGGTTCTACGAAATGTGGCGTTCATTTGAAGAATGCGACATTACTTTCGGTACGACCTAATACTTGAAATACGTACGAATAAATTTTTGAATGCAACGGGCAGACAATCAATTTGTTCTGCCCTTTGTAGCGGTTTTGCGTTCTTCTTTTGCCCCTATTCTCTTTTGCCTTTTTCTCTAAAAGTTCATGTAACCCAGTAAGAAGAAGAGTTTCTTAGCCAGAGACAACAGGAAAGCCAACATCTCTGCTAATTAAAAAAGGTAGGATCAAGAATCTGATCATTCAGGCCTAAAAGAGCAAAAAAACATTAATTATTGGGTCATATATAAAATTCGCATGTACCTATTTTTAGCCATTCTCTCCATATTGATGATTCGCGCACTCATGCCCAATTTCCCCCATTTTCATGGGCATTTAACAGATGCTTGTCCGAGATGTCATGCCTATTCGACACTTCGTGTCAATTACCAGACCAAGTGCTATTATTAGCATTTATCGCATTACGCCTACGCTCCTCATCAACTGCACCCGAAGATCAGCGCAGCCCAGTCAAACCTATTACAAGTACCCTACAATTATTCATTTACCCGTAAACTGTGCACCTAATCAGTACGATTGTCCGAAAAATCAAGCATTGGCTGTGAATCAGATGTCTGTGCCTTTTTTGGTGGGTAAGGTTACCCGAGGTTACCCTCCCCTGTTCTTGTAGTTGATTTGATCACTCGGTACGCTATGCCGTCAAAGGTCAAAAGCGAGCACTCGAGATAGGAGGAGCTGTTGACAGAGCGGCATGGATACCATGTCATATGTCGCCGAAGAATAAAAGAGAAAAGGAAAGGGGAAAGTGGATAGCTCTCTAAAAAGTACAGGGTCAATAAGGACGAGAAAATTTTGAAAAAAAGGCAAATTTGAATGGACAAAAACAAAACCATTGTGCAGGAGAACTGCGAAATTGAAGATTACTACGCAGTTCAAGAACATGGATCTGTTTAACAGGTTCGTTAGAGTTAAATTGATCCTCCAGATTATGTAATTTTTAACATATCAAGCAAACTTGAGAACAGTGAAATATTAGGTTGGCTAATGAATAGTTTCGGTTGCTTTGCAGCTCCTAGAGATGCTGCAGCCATTTTTTTGTCCAGTATTTGGTATCTGTGGAAAATTCAATGAATAGAAACATATAACCTAAAAGATATCCACAAACAAGCAAGAAAGACCCAACTTCTCATTTTGATGTATGAGAAAATCTGCTTTTTTCGGCAAAGAACACCATTTTTCTTGATATTCGCTAAATAGGGAAAACTTGTCTGCATCAAGTACCAGATTGTTGTTCTTTACATTCATTGGAGCATGAAAACGAAGCATAGGAAACCGCAGAATTGAGCTTTCGGAATTTTAGGCACTTGGAGCGTAATTGTTCCTTGCTATGTAATAATTGAAGGCTTTGAATAGTTGATATGTGATCTACTTACTATCGCTTTGAACTACTTACTTTTAAAACTTCATTATGAAAGAACAACTAGGAAAGTTTTTATAAAGGTTTTTCATGCCAAAACGAAATTATCTTCTAGCCATCTTATCTAAATTCTTACTGTGCTAGTTATCTCACTTATCAAGCAAATACTGGAAGCAGAAAGTGGTAACGTCCGATATCCTTGATATTACTTTCTCCTACCATATTTTATAGTACAATTGCTTCCCACACTTCTACCGATAAATTCCGCTATAGCCTTTGATGAAAAACTCAAGCAAAAGGTCTTATCGCACAAAAGCATCTATTGCTTTCCATTTTTTTTAAACTTTGGTAGTTAATCACTAGGATGGTAGTGATTGCGATTAATGTGGCACAAGGCTGATTTCATTGGAAACAATTATTCAAACAAATCCACTGAGGGATCGCGCAGTGAATCATACGTTTATCTATCAAAGGAGAATTGTGGTCGGAGTTCCTGTGCACATTCAGATATTTTCGCTTAGTTACCGAAACTAAGAAGGCGAGGATACCAACTTGATCTGGCAAACCAGATATGTATAACATTAGACGCAATTTCAAAAGCTCTCCTTTTCTGCAGAACAGCTTTCTCAGAGAAGTTATGAGCGTTCAAAAGTCCAGATTTGTCACGCCTTAGGTGGCATAAAATCAACGAAAAGTTCTACAAAAACACCTACATATGCGCATTTTCACTGTTGTGCTTCTTTCTTGTCAATATATATGGAAAACTAATTTCCCACTTCCACGTGTTTTACAGCTTTTCACTAGTCTTCTGCTACTTAAGACTTGACAAACTTGGACTCAAACGCTTATAACTTCTTTCAAAGAATTACTCCAAAAAAGAAAAGCAGATGTGAAATCAGCATTTGAAGGAATGCCGAACTGCAGGTTGGATAGAAAATGATGCCGTTGTGAAGTGCAACTAGAAAATGTCGAAAAATTAAGTAGCTAGAATCTATTCGATTGCTTTTCTGTCAAATGAAAGTGTAGATAGATATCAGTTTTCCCTGCACAAACTTCTAAGAATAATTTGCTTCTATTTACTCCAGAATTCTTGTTTTTTTTCCTCGTTTGTGACAGGCAAAGTTTTGGCGGATGGATACACAAATATTTTGCATACCAGATTCTGTGTTCTCATTGTCAGATGGACATTTTTTGCATTTGCAGTTATACAAAGCAGCTTCTGAGGTGACGAGATTATTGAAAATTGGCCTGAACACTGCAAATAATAGGGAATACCAGTTTCTCAATGTGACGCTCGTAGCTTTGATAACATTCTTTCGTTTTTCAAAAGAACTTCTTCTGTTAAAAATTGAATGGACACATTTAATCATCTCAGTTAATGGGTCATTTGTTTCCACAAAATTGTTTACTGTAACAGTTAGATAGATCACTCCCCCAAAAACCAGCTATATACAACAGTTCAGGTATTTACTACCCATCTTGATTTGCATTGGAAAAAATGTTACATGTCATGACACCAGGATATTGCGCTTTCTTTAGACGAAAAAAGGAAAAGTTATAACTTTTGATTCACGCACAATCCTACAGACTCCTGCTTACACTCACTATTACAATTTCTCAAGCAAAGCTCTATTTGCTCCCTATCCTTCGATACCTATTCTTCAGAAAATTCTTGCAATTCGCACACTCTGGAATACTTTTGCACACGCGCTCAAACCCAGCACTAAATTATTCTGGTTGTTTGCAACGAAGCAAAAACCTAATCGCTCTGTTGAAAGCAGGAGCAATTTGGACTACAAGAAGTTTTATTCAAGACATTTATGTCCTTTTACAAGAGAATTAGACAAATTTGACTGGCTATTGTCATGTGACAATTGCTTACTTACACGCTTGAAAAGCTGCTTGAGTCAAATCGAATTCGGTTCGTAAAGCAGATGTTACTTCTTTTGTGCCTCGAAACATGTTTTTGAAATGCTTAGTATTAGGTTCTAAGAAGGTTTTCGGACATTCGTAGGCTGAATCTGCCATTTCTCGGAGCACAATTCATGTATATAAGTGAAAAATTGCATTTATATTTTTTCGTGCATGTAGGAAATTAGAGAGAGTAGGAGAAGCTCAGGAGGGGCGGAGTTTGCCACTTTTCAGTCACCTTGTCTTTTATATGAGCTCAAATATCATGAACCATGTGCATAAAGCATGTAAGTATGTGTCTACAGTATAATGGAACATTTAGAACTCTCATAAAATCTGGATTAGGATAAAATCATAAATTTTCAAAATTACGCCTTCATTTTTTCTAGAAG